CGCCCCCCACGGGGGCGCTACGTCACCTTACGCCCCGCAGACAAGCACGCCCCGCGCATGCGCGCCGTCGACGCCTGGGTGCGCGACAGGCTCGGCGGCGGGGGCCGCGCCCGCTTCGCGCAGGGCTGGCGCGGCGCGCACGCGTGGGTCGCCGTCGCGTACGTCGTCGGCGCAGACGTGCAGGGCTACCTCTACGCGGAGAGGGTCGAGGAGGCGCTGGAGGCCACCGTCGGGACGGACGGCGTCGCGCTTGCAGGGGGGACAAGCGTGCAGAGGCCGCTGTGCGGAGTGAGGAGGGTGTGGGTGGACGAGGCCGCGAGGAGGAGGGGCATTGCGAGGAAGATGGTCCACTTGGCTAGGGCCCATTTGGTGTACGGACATGTGTTTGCAGAGGCTGACGTCGCGTTCACCGCGCCGACGAGGGACGGCGCGTTTTTGGCGGCACGCTTCGGCGGGGACTCCGTTTTGGTGTACGCGGAGTGAGAGCCCGGCGGGGTTGGGACGTAACGCCTCTTGCCGTCCCCTCCTAAGACGCTCTTTTGTCGGTCGCATCCGCCTGTTTGCGATTCCTCGCGTGCCACGGCCTCCGTAGGAGTCGCGCTGATCGGCGGAGCATCAGTTGCAGTATGGATGCATCTCTTCGCTGGTGTTTGCGCCATGGCTCGCTCGTATTGTCAAGGCCGACCATGCAAGGCAAGCGGTCTTGAATTCTGCAGAGGTGGAACTGGCGTCCGAGTTGGGAGCGTTGACAGCTCCCAGAAGCGAGGTTACCCCTCGCACCGTCACTCTTATGCTGAACAGGACTCTTCAGATTTTCGGACAAACTTACTCAGTGTATTCATGGATATCCTCCTTCGGACCACAGAACTCATCCTTTTTCGTGGCTTGGGTTTGGATGTGCGGAATGTGCAAAACTGTCCCGTATGGCACACTAGATGTATCGAGGCTTTTAATGCGACCTACAACTGCTCCTTACATATGTATATCTTCCACCTCATCATTACCAATACCATGCTAGGCCTCTTGTGTCATAACCGCTTCTCCACAGAAAAAGTAACGCCCGACCACGTCGACCCTTCGAACCGCCGACAAACTACATGACGCTCATCGGGTCCCACGAACCATGCAAGCTCTGTGTAGAAGTCTTCGTTGTGCTTTGGGACTGCTACACTGTACACGGCACTCACCCCGCCAGGGAGAATGACCATACGCCGTGGCGCTCGCCCTTCAACCAGTATGACCATGAAGCGGTCATCGCTACTGACTTCTCCAGAAGCAGAGCCAGTATCGCTGTCATTCTGAAAAGTCATGCGGCGCCCGTTCAGCATTCTCGACTCTGTGTACGCATCCGTGCGGGATGACACCTTGCCACCATTGCGCACATCAAAGATGCTACGCTGAACGTGCCATTTGCCGCAGAGAGCGGATATGTCAGCTTCTGTAGTTGGACCTACAGCATTGTTGTCGCGTATCTCGTCGGGTACGTATGGGAGTGGGGTGTCGATACTCTGTTGGCCGGGTCGTTCGCGAAAAACGCTAAACCACTTAAGGTGCTCACTGGAGAACATGAGGATAAGACGACGTCTCCCAAGCACTCTTCCATCGGGAGCGCAGTAATTGATCCCTAATTCACAGACTGAAAAGTCTGCTGTCTGCAATGTGACAGAACCGCTACAGTAGCTGCCGCTATTGGGCTCGTACACTGTGCCTTTGTCAACCGGGTTCCCTGGGTCTATATTGAATTTGAGGTCTGTCTTGTCTGTTACTCGATGCAAACGGGCTTTCATTTGGACAGGTACTGCCTCTCCAATGGCATTGCTGCTTTCGGATGGGCATATGAAGAGCACAGTTGGTTGTCGAGATACTACCTTCGCATCAGGGTCATATCTGGTAAGGTTTCCCTCCCATGTTCCCTTTATGTCGTTACATGATATAAAGATGAATGCAAACGTTAGAAACTCATTTCACACTGACCAGATAGGACACTCGGAAGCTGCAGAGGGTTTCACAAATCAGATAGCGCGGGCCCAGGGCACTGCACGCATACTATGAGATGCTTTTGGCACACGAAAAGGGATAGAACGAGACCGGGAGCCCTCCTTTCCACTCACCAGAATCTTGCCTAAACCAAGCAACTGCTGTTCCAGTGTCGCGCCGTTCATCACGTGTAAACAGCGGTGCGGGTAGATAAAGCGAAGGTCTAAGACTGCGAAGACGTTTCGTTCCGATGCAAGTTGTTAACTTCTTGTTTCGGGAGCGTTTTAGTTAATCGGGGTGAAACAAGACGATGGGTAACGCAACGTAGGGAGTCGACTTGTGTTTGATATGGAGGATAAACACCGGAGCAAGCACTTCAGATCGCAGACCTTTATGTAACAAAGCGCATCACAACGGAGATTGATCTGTCCTGCCACCAACCATGGGATGCCACTTGGGTTGTTTGATTTGTATCCACGCTTTCTATTGGTCCACATGGAAATTTTAGACGGTAGCGGAACCTGCCTCATGCATGTCCTTGCAACAAGCTGCCCATCCTTTAACAATACTCCGTGCTGATGTCGAACCGATGGTTCTGGGCTGCGAATCAGGACTTCGGCGCAGCTCCCTAGCAACGGCTGCTAAGCCGCGCAGTGATACGAGAAGAATGAGCTTTTCATCTTTTCTCCTTGAACGACGCCAAAAGTATGGAAGAGCGCATCCATGGGCGTATCTACCATCGCCATCCCTATTCACAACTCATCTTCAGTCTCCGAGTTCTTTCATTGGGAATCAGAGAAAATTCCATCGGATGGTAGCTTTCAATCGCCGTTGTCATTCATTGCATAGAAATGTAAGCCGTTCACGCAGACATCGCATATTCATGTGTGACGCATCAATGCCAATTGATACGATGGCTGCAGCAGCTGTCGGTGTTGAAGGTGAAGCTAAACAAAAACCAAGAAGAAGCCGCGAACGGGCAACTTGGCAGTTCTTTACTGAGACTGCAATACAAATCTCAATCACAGGTCTGGCAATTGCGGCCTCTGTTATAGCAAAAGCGCGTTTCTTTGCGTTTGCATCGGCATTTTTGTACCTTCCACAACTTTTTCTAGCCCTACGTCGTTTTCGCCGGGAGCTCGAGGTTGGAAGCTTCGCAGAAATGGATTCCCAAGGTACACAGGAAAGGCGGTTGGAGGCCATGGAAACAATGGAAGCGAAAGAGAAACAGATTAATGAATCTCTTTTAGCGTCTGCGGCAATTCGAGGGTCGATTGGCTCGGAGGTAGACATGTTGCGGTATTCCATTGAACAGATGGAAATATCCACTATTCAGAGGGAGCAAGCCCGAAATCGCTCGATTGCCGATGCTTTGGCTTCTCTTGATGAAAGCATTCGAGCCGTGCGTAGGACTGTTGAAACAAGGAATCAAATCGAGAGTGCCGCTCCGTTTGCTCTAGTTGCGGAACTGGAGACTTCTCAGTCAAGGTTGAAGCAGTCAGAGCGTGAGAAAGGTGAGCTGCAATCTAAATTGCAGATTCTCCAAGCCAATTTTGAGGAGGCCAAGCGCAGTGGAGAACGAGCCCGCAGAGAGGCGGATGAAGCAACCCAAAAAGAATTGCTGCTACGGGTGGAGCTTGCTACAGTCACAAGCCGATTGACACGCCTTGATGAGATTACAGAAAGGTTGCAGACGGCCGAGCTTCGAAACGATGAGCTTCGCGAAGAAGTGGTCATCAAATCGAGGGAAGAGGAGAATTTGCGGCAGTCCGCCGCTGACTCAGAAAAGCGGGTCTTGCGCGTGGAGAACATTTCGCGTGTACTACGAGAGAAGATGCAAGGCATCACCGGCAGAGGCGAGCATTCAGAACGAAAAAGAAGTCCACAACCAATATCACAGACGGAAGCGGAAGCTGAAGAGCAGTTTTGGCAGCGGCGACTTCGCAGCAGCGCTTCAATCCCTAGACCAGGCTCACTTTTATACCAAGAGTTACTTGGAAGCCCTTCGGATGGGAATTACAACAAAGAGTGGCCAGATTCTCCGTTAGACGGGGGGGTTCAAGAGAAGAAACGGCAGGCGCAGCTCGAAAACTTGCCTGCAGACGGTGGCTTTGGAGATGTAAGCACAACTGAGCAGTCTAGCGAAGGGGATGGTGGTCAGAGTGTAAGTACGGGGCAGCTGCCTGTCCCAGCTGGAGATGCAATGTTTTCTTTTTCGAGGGGGGAGTTTGACAGCTCCGGAAAACCCTCTTCTAGAACTTTACCCGCTGCGCCAAGTCAGGAGAAGAAGGTAGATGGCGATGGGCCTTCGGACGTACCCACAGCAGATTTAACGGGGAAGGAAATTGCAGACCAGGCGGGGCGACTTGATATGCTTGAATACCAAGTTGATGGAAAATTGAAATCTGAGGCTCCAAACGTAACTGAAACAAACCCAGATAAAGCTTTGGAGGGGATCAGCAATTTTGAGAGAAAGCTTGGAGGGGAGCGAGCAATTTCTGAAACCATCGAAGCAACAGAACGTACTTCCGAAACAATGAGAGATGAGTTTGTTGTCGGAAAGGCTTCAACACCTGACCCTGAGCCAAGCCAGAGTATCAGCATAGACGGATCCACAGGTACGTCTGATTCAGATGACTCCTCTACGAACAACCCCGTGATACCATCGGGAGGCTCACTTTCCTTGAAGCCTTTGAAAGAAGGGAACCAGAATGAGTCGAATCTATCCGAGAAAAGCATAGGAGACCAACTGGAGCTTACTCGTTCATCAACGTTAGAAAATAATGTATCAGACAAAAGCAATAGCCCTGCTGCTGGAGGAAGCTTGGCTGATGCCGTTTCATTTAATCAAGATAATGAAGGATCTAATGCGAAGTCCGAGAACGGGGGGGTAATCCTATCTCCTGATGCGGCAGAATCGCAGAATGCGAGCACTGAAGATGTCTTGGAGGGCTCCTCTGACACTGTCACAGGGTCGGTGCAGTCCTTGGAAATGCCAAATGCAGGAGGCGCTGTTCTTGAGTCTCGTGATACTGCTAGTTTCAATGGGGGCAACTCTGTTTCGCGCAAGGTGTCCAAAACTGATGAGAAAGCGCAGATACCTTCAAGTTCGATGGAAGAGAGTCCGTCAGGGCGGATCAAAGGAGTAATAGACGAAGAAAAGCCAGGAGCTGCTGTTACTGACAGCAAATCCAATGACGTTACCAATGGAGACTCTTCAGTAGTTGACAAGGCGGACGAAGCATCCTTACGAAGTAATCAAGTTTTTGACCGAAATCCTCTACAGAGAAAGAGACCTGTTCCGACTCCAAAAGAGCTCGTCGATTCGGCGAATGAACTTGTTAAACAAGCACGAAAACGTGGTGTCGCTGTTGCGCAATCGGACGGTTTGTTTCAGCGCGCTGTATCCAAGTTGGAAGCCGCGATGAGCCTAGGATTTGAAAGGCCCTATGTTCAGGCAGAGTATGGTGGTGCGTTGCTCGCATGGGCCAAGGTTAATCTCGCTGACCCTGCTTCGTACAAACGCCTGACAAAGGCGCAGCGATATTTGTCAGCGAGTTTGCAGACACGTCCAAACGATGAAGACACTGTTTTCAACACGGCATTGTGCTTGTGTTTACTCGGGTCAACGAGTGAGCCCCGGCAGGCGAAGGATTATTATTCGAGGGCATGTGAACTCTACGATAGATTACTGGGTCTTAACGGCACTTCAAGAATCGGTGCGTTCAATTGCGGGCTGGCCTACATTTCGCTGGGCAGACTAGCACTGGTTGACGACGAGATCGATGAAAAGGCGAGGATTGGATATTTTGAGACAGCGCTCGAGAGATTTGGAACGGCAATAGAGCTGAAACCTGGAGATGGCAAAGCTCAAACATACTTGGAAGACTGCAAGAGGGAATTATCACAGCTGCGTCAAGAATAGGTAGACTTGAATCCCTTGGAGCAAGTTGCGCTGGACTCACACGTGGGGTGTCTCCGGTCCTTGATCCTATGCGGCCCTGCTTCGATGCGCAACCAAGAAATAAAGGAGGTTGGCATCAACGCGACCCAATCTGTATTTAAAGAGAGCACTGTATCTACGTAGTTTACGTGCTGTCGTGAGGACAGCATATTTGCCAATCTGTCTCGACCATCGTCGCCTTCAAAGTAAGAATGTGGCGCTGCCTTTCACATTTTGGTTTCCCCATCCACAGGCATCCATACAACAGCCCTGTCAATAGCATCAATGTCGATGTGATGTTCTTGTGATAGACACTAGTGCAGAAACCTTCGAGATTTGGCACGCGAACGCGTGGCAGTTACAGTACTGTCAAGAATTCGCAAATTTTGCCGGGTCATCTTTGTCCACAGAGGTATATCGAATGCCCTCGTCATGCGGCAACTCTTCCCGCCAGGGAAGCCGAGTTTGACAACCTCCTCGTACAAGATGTGGTAAATCTCCCCATTCTTTTCGTCTTTGCTACTAAGTTTTTGAGGTATTTTTTCTTTTGGCTCAACTGCATTGCGACTCCAGTGCCGCTGTGACATATCCGTTTGAGAACACGGTTTGTTTTGTTTGCCCATTTGTTTGTTTGCCTTCGCTTCAATACGAGAAGCCCATTGAGCTCTGTTATCCTCGCTGTCACCTGATAATTGTTGCCTGGCTAATCTTCGCACTTTCCCAGCGTCGAATCGAAGAGATTTGGGTCACAGCGTTGTGTGTGTAGACGTCCCAACGAGACAAGGAATCCTAGACACAACAGAATTTGACGATTCCGTCGCGCCATGATGCTTGCATTTTCGTTTCTTGCCGTTGGGACCGCAAACAGCTTCGTCCCACTGTTGAGCACTAAGAGGGGTGGGGTTTGTTCTAGTTCAATTCCCTCGATGTGTCTGTCACAGGCCAGGAGTGAGGCAGCAGCGCGAGCATCTCGAATAGTATGCATTGGAGACATTCATGGGCAATGGAATGAAAGCGATGAAAGGGCCTTGCGCCATTTGCAACCAGATCTCGCGTTGTTCGTGGGTGACTATGGGAACGAAGATCTTCGTGTGACGAAGCGGATATCCGAACTTGCAGCTTCGAGCGATTTTGGCGTTGCGACAGTATTTGGGAATCATGACGCTTTTTACACAGCGAGCATGAACGGGAGAAGAAGAGCTCCCTACGACAAGACGAAGAGTTGTCATGTCACTGAACAAATCAAGATGCTCGGACCGTACGACGTTTCCTACAAGAGCTTTGCTTTTGACAGTGTTGGAGTATCTGTGGTGGGAGGGCGGGCTTTTTCACACGGCGGCCCGAATTGGAAGCATAAAAGGTTCTACCGCGACTTTATAGGCGTACAGGGCATTGAACATTCTGCTAAGAAGATGAAAGATGCTGTGGCGGCCTCGCATCATAACACTGTCCTCTTTCTCAGCCACAGCGGTCCATTCGGGTTGGGTGATCACCCGAGCGATCCTTGTGGAAAGGATTGGGGGGATTTTCCTGGTGGCGATTACGGAGATCCAGATCTTCGAGAAGCAATTGAAAAGGCTCGCAAAGACGGGTTTCGGGTACCGCTGACTGTTTTTGGTCACATGCATAAACAATTGATGGGGAACAATGGAAACAGAACGATGATTAAGACAGAGCAAGACGGCCAATCTCGTGGTGAGACAGTCATGGTGAACGCCGCTGTGGTCCCGAGACATAAAGTCGGGTCGATGACAAGTGAAAGCTTGCACCATTTTCAAGTAGTGGAGATGGGGGATCACGGCTCTGTAGATTCGGTAAGTGAAACATGGATCACGCCAACTGGCGTAATCGCTCAAAGCGATGTAATCTACAAGGCGAAGTTGGAGGTGCTCGTCAACGGCTCCATCAATCGGAAGTGCATGAATGTAGAATAGGAAGATTTTACACTATAGTGGTATTAACGCAGTGTGAGATGACTGGAGATTCCACGATTCTACGACCATGTATACTCTTGGTAATGCATTTTATACCAGTATATAATCCAATTGACTGCCTGCGCGCGCCGAGTAAGGTTGGGAGTGAGGTCGGCGACTTTCCAACCCGAAAAACCGAGGGGTTTCATAGTGGGCTTTAAGAGCTGTTTATAGTCTGAGGGGATACTTCTCGATAGGTTTTGGACAGCAATTTTGACGGGCCGATCCATCTCCGGGGTGTAGTCACCCTTCTTACCAATAAAGTCCGGTGGCCCCCTCTTGTATGCTTTCTTCCACATCGGTTGCACCTCATCATCGTTCCATTCGCCGTTTTCCATCTGCTTCCAGCCCAGAAAGGTGCGAAGGATCTCGTTAACCCATGCGTCGGGGGTGTCGCCTCGGATGATTGCCAAAAGGTCTTGACCTGTGATTTGAGGAGGCTCGTCAAAATGGATGCCAGGAAGGCCTTCGGTCCTCTTGACCCCTTCTAATGACGGTAGCACTTTCAATCGGGTTGTGGCCCAGCCTTCGACAGCTACAATGCGAGCTGGAGCTGGGCGACGTGCCGGACGAAGGGGAGGACTTGCCCGATCGCCAGAAAGCTTACGCAAGCCGTTGGTACTTTGAAAAGGAAGCCCACAGGTAATCGGAGCGGCGGGAATAAACGCTTCCCTCATGACTAATGCTCTTTTGTGATACTTAAGTTGAATTGCACGTTCTGTCGACGAGTAGAGACACTGGCGACGTGCGAGTTTGACGAGGGGCGGGTCTCGTCAAAAGACTGTAGTCAATTCTGCACTTTCGGCTCAGCAGTAACTGTCGACGACTCCTCGTAGCCCTATTTTGTATTGCAGAGGAGCAGGAAGCGTCTTGTTCGCCTTTCTTTCTTCTACGAGCCACCGAGGATTGAAAGACTAAGCCCCTGCTGTTAACAGCAACAGAGGCCGGGTGATCTGAGTCGTTGAACTGCCACATGTACAACGTGTAAACGTGTAAACGTTGTATTGGTTTCCTCCAGCGTAAGAATGGCAATCTCAGCTCGAGCACACGTATATTTTTGTGATGGAGGCTTTCCGCCTTGGGCCGTACCTCGGTGATGCGCAGAGCCCGTGGACGGGGTTTTATTGCCGCGGGAGAGCGGTCGTCCTACATTTAAGGTGCAGTGGCGGCGCTTTGCGTTACTGTCCACGTTGGACGACGTGACTTATGTGTAAGGTAACACTCCGAGCTCGATAATACGGTGAACGGCAAAGGGTGGCTTGGAGCTGACAGGAGGTATCCGGTGAGGCCTGATTCTTTTGCAGAAGGATAGGAGTGGATTCTACGTAGGGCGAGAGAATAGTAAGAACAGGTCGCAAAGATAGCGTTTCTACGATGAAGACTACAAAGTTTGACCAAAATAAAAAGTGTCATAGCGAACAAAACGACGGAGAGAGTTGGCATTCGCAGTCAAATCTCCTACACAAAACGGCCTCGGGAGCTCTGGGCATAAATGCAGGCGGTAGTCGTACAAAGCAAGGTAGGGCATCAATGTACAATCACTTGTCCAACGGCTGAACATCAAAACGTAAGCCCTCCAATGCGTCCAAGTACTCAACGAAGCGATCGAGCAAGCCCGGGACGTCTGCCTGATGGACGTCGATGAGGCTCGGGGTGCGTCCATTCTTCTCCTTAAAAGCGTCGCTCCAGGGCTTGAGCTGCCTTCTCAGGAACATGTATCTGCGGAAGTGCTCGGCCTCACGGACGCGGCGGCGGGAGTTTCGTCCGCGGCGGGGCTTGAGGATCTCGTGGGGGAGGGGCGCGGGGACCGGGTTGAGGAAGCGCGACTGATTTGGTTGTGGCTCGCGCGGCACGGGGGGAAGCAGCGGAGCGGCGACGGGCGCACGCGGGGACTGGACGGGGCGCTTGACCGAGGTCTTGACGGCGGCTTTGGCCACGAGACGCGGCGGGGCCGACGCAAGGGGTGATCGGTCCGACGGGGGGATGCGGGTGGGGAAAGGAGATAGGAAGGCCGGATGGCGGCGTTGACGGCGCTGCGTAGGGGACGACATGAGCTATCAGTTAGGGGGGGGGGAAGGGGGTCACAATGCGAAGGTGAGTGGGGCTTGTGGTGAGGAATTGGGAGCGGGGAGAGGAAGAGCACAAGAACAACTGCCGGGGTATAGGAGGAGGAGGGGCGGGAGAGTTGGGGTGAGAAAGGGGGAGATGCAGGTTAGGCTGGTGGACAGAGGGACAGGTGTAGGGAATTGTGGACCACGAACGAAGGCTGAGAGCGACGCGGGAAGGGGGAAAGGAAGACGGCCAATAGACAGGCAGAAAAAGGGGTCGAGCATGCACATTGGGATGCATGTCTGGCCTCTCATTACTCGCGCAGCCGCCGCATGCAAATCTCCACTACACTTGTGCCCGTACCCTAGTACTTGTACCATTGCGAACCTCGCTCTTGCCTTTCGTGCTCCCGTCCTCACCCTCCCAAACCGCCGCCCGCTACATTCCATCCACTGGTACTACGCCAAGTGGAACCCACATTCACTTCCCGCCTCCTCGTATCATACCTACCTTCGCAGTACACGTGGCTGCCACGCCCCACACGTGGTTTGTCAACGGATACTCTATGCGTCTCTATTGGCTGTGCTTAACGGCTCTCGAACCCACCTATCCGCATCGCCCTTCCCCCACCCGTTACATCTCACGTCCGATCCCTCCCGTGACTCGTCCGTTTTTAGATCGCTGCCCCCTCCAATCCTCCTACTTAAACCAATCCGCCTTTCACTCTAGCCTTGCCCTTCCTCCCTCCCCACACTTTCTTGCCTACCTACCTCCTCCACCCCCTCTACCTCCTCCCGCCTCTCTCGCTTTCCCATTCAAACACCTGCCTGGACCAAAATGTCTTCAGCCATGCAATTCTCGTCCGAGGACGACTTCAATAACTTCGCCGCCCCCGTACCGAATGCCCCCCTTCCCCGCTGGAAACGCAAGGCCCTCGAAGCCTCGCACGCCGCCAACCGTCCTGCCACGCCGTCCAACTCCAAATCCCGCCACGCAAAGACCCCCAAGTCAGCTCACTCTGCCAAGCGCGGCAGAACGCCCCGCGCAGACCGCTTCATTCCCAACCGCTCTGCTATGGACATGGACATGTGCCGCCTTGCCCTTACTTTCGACGCCGGCAAGGAGAATGGCTCCTCGCAACCAACACCTGACGGCATGTCCCCGTCTAGAGCCGCCGAGATCGACGTCGTCAGACAACGCCAATCCGCTGGGTACAGCTCCGTCCTTGCATCCTCGCTCTTGGATATCCCAGCCACCCCGAATGTATCCGCCGACCTTGGTGATCATGGTGGCAGCAACATCCTTGGCAGTAAGATTCTGGCCTTCAGTGGCAAGGCACCGGAGCCGAAGGAAGGATACCGCAACACCAACCGCGTCTTGTATTCGCAGAACGCCATGGGCCCCGCCGTGCGCCGCAACAAGTTCAGATACATCTCGAAGAACCCTGAAAAGATCCTAGATGCACCAGCTTTGCTAGAGGACTACTACCTCAACCTCCTTGATTGGGGGTCCAACAACGTCCTCGCCGTCGCTCTTGGTGAGACTGTGTATCTGTGGAACGCCCAGTCGGGGGCTATCACTCAGCTGTGTGAGACCTCCGACGTCGACGACTGCATTACCTCCGTGTCATGGATGCCGGATCGCAACCACATTGCTGTCGGTACCAATCGACATGAGGTCCAGATCTGGGATACCGACCGCATGGCCTGTGTGCGCAAGATGCGCTCGCATACGGGTAGGGTCGGTGCCCTGGCTTGGAACGGCCACATCCTCTCGTCAGGGTCGCGTGACGCACAGATTCACAACCATGACGTACGCATTCCGCAGCACCACGTCGCCACTCTTGCCCATCACGAGCAAGAGGTCTGCGGCCTCAAGTGGAGCCCTAACGGAACTCAGCTTGCGTCAGGTGGCAACGATAATATCGTCTGTGTCTGGGACAACCAGCATTCTTCCCGTTGGACGCCCAAGCACACGTTCGACCATCACACGGCCGCTGTCAAGGCGCTCGCGTGGTGCCCGTGGCAGACGAATTTGTTGGCGACTGGCGGTGGTACGGCTGATCGTCACCTCCGGTTCTGGAATACTTCGAGTGGTGCGTGTGTCAATTCTATTGACACCAAGTCTCAGGTGTGCGCAATCGTTTGGTCGCCGCATGACAAAGAGCTTGTCACGAGCCATGGGTTTTCGCAGAATCAGTTGACAGTGTGGAAGTACCCCTCATTGGCACGCATGGCGGAGCTGAAGGGTCATACCTCGCGTGTTTTGCACATGGGGCTCAGCCCCGATGGACAGACCGTCGTGTCAGGCGCGGCAGATGAGACGCTCAGATTCTGGAAGATTTTCGCGGGCGACGATTCGCGGCGGGCGGCCACAGGTCCCAGTCACTCCGGGAAGGGTGGCCTTTCTTCGACTTCGCGGGGCTTGGGGCGAAGCCAGCATATTCGATGAGCGGCAGTGCAAGCATCGACTTTGTTCTGTCTTTCTTCTTTGACGCGACCTCTCTGCGATATGCGGCGAATTCGCGTGTTGGCGAAGATACTAACTTTGAGTGTGTGTGTGTGTGTGTTTATTTTTCTTTTCGCGCGACTGCGTATGTGTACACAAGTGTATTTTACTAACTCTTGCTTTTTGCGAAGCGTGAAGTGGCTACAACTCAAGATCCAGCAGGTAAGTTACTCACTTCAGTATTTATTGAAATGGTGCTTTTAGCACCAAAACAATCCAAATCCGAAGAAAACTTGCCTTGTACTGTGAAAGAGCGCGTGCGAACAGAGGGAGGCGGTGTACGAAGAAGACAAACGAGAAGCAAGCGTATAGTTTTTTTCGGATTTTTGAATTGTGTAGGCTAATCGCATCTCTTAGATTTTTATTCGTAAATGCTCATGATGACTGCGTAGATTTTTCTTCGTAAAAGACCCATGATGGCGGCATGTTATAATCCAAGTACATATCTCGCCAAAATTGAGCAAAGTAATTGCAGTTGCACTAGGATTCAAAACAACGGTTTCGATATGACCTCTGAGACATGTCAGTGACTGGCTATTCCATCCAATGAGTAAGTTCGTTGCAAAGATTCTCTTTGCCTTCTTCGCATTTCTACACAGTATAAGTGCAGGTTTACTTACTCACTTTACCTGTTTACAGGTCCTTGTCGCTAGCCGAAGAACCTTGACAGAGCACGTAGCTAGTTGCGCATCAGGCTTTGCAAGCAGAGCAAATTTGCCAGTTTTACTAAATGAAAGTCATAGTTTTGTGTGTCTTACTAGACAGTAAGACACACAACTATGACTTTCAATTTTGGAGCACGGCTGAAGAAATTTCCTGCAGAAAGACGTATGTTCGGCTTGATTCGGAATCCTATTCTAGTTCCGGAATCGATAGAGGCAGACTGAAAGGTTCCAATTTGGTGCCTGGGTGCGCCAGTAATTAAATGTTGAGATCAGTTCTTGTTGCTTCGTTAAGTTGATCTTCATATATGAGTGGTGCGCGTTTTGACAACAAGCCGAATACCGGACATCACACACCCGCTTAAGCGGGAACAGATCTGCATTTTAGATGAACGCCTACTTTTATTGGTTCCCTAAACAATGCAACACTGTACACGTCGTGCGGTTTTCAAGAAGTTCAAAGTCGTTAAGCTCCAGACTGCAATGAGGATATCATTGGTATCAGTTTCCTTTGAGTGCAGCCGGCTAAGACTCACCACACGGCAGTTGCAGGTGGACAAAAACAAAAAAAGCAAATAGACATTTGACGTCATCGCCAGCGAGTGACGGATTTTCCGAGCTAAGGAGGATGAGATTGGGACGGAGATGTAAACAAATGGTTCGCGAGGCCATGCTCGTTAAATTCGCTTATGGGCGGCGACGTTGTTGAAAGCCAATCCATGCGACGCAAGATCTCCTTTTCATCGAAGATTTGAAAAGTTGAGTCAAACGTGAAGCTAACATCCTCCCTTAGCTTATCCATTTGACATTCAATTGTGGCATCCTTAGGAGCCACGAAGACGACAAACGGCAACCCAATGCGGTCAGGATGATGGTGGTGGACTGGCAGCAAGTTATCGGGGCCTGCAATGAAGTCTTGAACTTTTGCGTTGTCCTTGTTTCTCTCAATGAGAAGATCCGTTCTAGAGCACTGGTCTTTGATTCCAGCGAGAATTCGAGCCTTTTCTTCGATGAGCTGACGCCTCTCCGCAACCGCAGCTTTCATAGCTGTGATTTCGCCGTTACCCCTTGCTGACTGTGCCATGGCAAGGCCTTGCCAAGTAATGAGCTTCTTCTCTTTTTCGATAATGCCCATGGCCATGAGGACGTTCAATGAGTCATATACTCTTCTTCTGATGTTCTTCTCATCGACGAGATTGCCGCTCTTTTCTAATTTCTTCCGAAGCCCAGCTGCAGCGGGGCCTCCTGCTGAGAGCTCCTGCTTCTTGATCATTGTTTCCTCATTTACAAGCTCGTCGGCGACTTCGTTGTAGGTAGTGACGACCTTCTGCTCAACTTTGCGACTGACTCTGACTGCGAAATGTCTGAGTCCTTTGCGCTTGGCCTCAGTCTCAGGAGGCTTGTACTTTGCCCGTTCGCTGGTACGACGAGTAGGGGCTGAAGCGACCGGCGGGGGACGAAATGCATTGCTCTGTGTAGTGGAAGAAGGAGCAGGTGATTGAAAGCGGTGATTAGCGGCGGAGACAACGGAGTTGGGGCGTGGTTTGCGCTTCTTGATGCCGAGCTTCGGCGGCAGAGCTGGATCACGCGGCTTGCCTTTGGGCTTTGGGGATGTGGGTGCTGGGGGCAGACGAGGAAGGTCTTTGATGTATTGATTTGTCATGGAGGTGGTGTGAGCAGCTAAGTTTGATGAGAAGTTTCGGATGGGGAGGGCGCGGGGCATGGAAAAAGCGCCGAGGTACAGGTGTGCCGCGGAAATTTTCCGGCGGCACGCGAGGAAGGGTCAAAGAGGGCCGAGAGGGGGAGGCGAGAGGAACGGAGGATGCAAGATAGTGGAGATTAGAAGGGGAGAGTGAGAGGCAATGTTATCGGGATTGCGGGTGGGGTCGGGCGGCGGGGATGGAGGGGATGGACGAGTAGGACACAGAAAAGGGTCTGGGAGTATGAGGGGGTTTTGAGTAGGAGGGATGTAGGAGTACGTGGTTTGAAACAGGGAAAAAAGTGGGAGATTGGGACGTACGAAAGTGGTTGGCGGGTAAAAAATGAAGGGCGAGAGGTTGAAACGCGATAAAATTTTGGACAAAGAGGTGAAGCCAAGGCTTTTTGCGCGGGGCAACGGCACGGAAGAGGAGGAAATGAAAAGCGATTGGCTTAGGCTCGCTGGTCTGGCAGAGGTTTTGAGAGCGAAAAAGGGGGAAAATGAAATGAAAAATAGAAAGCCCGCGCCTTTTTCTGATGCTGGCGGGCGATGCGAAGTGAGCGGACCTAACGAGAGGTGGTATGTAGATTTAGAGATACTTTTCAGAGGTGAGCATATAATCGGCGGGAATGACGAAACTTTCAAAATATTTGACGCGCACTGGCTGGGCGAAGTAGGAACCAGCGTTGGAACCCGCGTTGGCAATTGCATCCGCATTGATCCGAACCGAAAATAGGGCAGAAAAAGGTCAATGAAACGGGCAGCAGAGACGACCCTTTCATGACACCCACGGTTTGTTTTTGTCAGCGCCAGTTGCTCCGTGCATGACACGCGTCCTCTCGGACGTGCTAATTTTGCCTTTGCTGCGTTCTGCTTACACTGGGACGTTCTTGCCTGTAGGCCATGGCCGCACCGCAAAGGTTAGATAGTGCGGAATGCGGAATTCCGTAATCGTGGGCTCTGGCGCATAGCAGGGATGCATTCGTGGCCCGCCGTAGACGGCACCTTTTTTTAACTTGGATCAGGCAACGACACTCGAAGACGACGTGGCTTGTGCAATCGCCAGTGCAGATTGGATGGCGACAGTACGAGCTTCAAATTCCTGCACACCTCTTAAGAGTGTGAGCGCATTCCATCGTTTTGGAATTAGTGCGAGAAGGCAAGTGGATAAATGCCACCCGAGGGCGAAGGTCTCAGTCTAACCCTCCAGATGAAAGGCCCATTGAAAGCTGTATTTTTGATTTAAGACGTCAAGATCTATTCGGGACTGGATCAGAAATAGGAAGTCTATGCGCCCGTGTAAGTCGTGTACACGTTTCAACTAATGGGCGATGGGTTTTTATCCAAGCAAGTGTTGAGGTAGAATTACAGTGCTGTACCGCAATTACAGTGTATTAGGGGCGTGTCTGGTAGACTTGCGAATTTGTGAGGATAAGTCTCAACATACAGTAATTAGCACCCTTGGGTCCCGGGTTCTCCCTGGTTGTAAATAGAGTTTTTTATCATACGCGATGTTCTGTGCTCTGCCGAGATGTGCAACCTCAGGTTAGACAAGACATGTAGCCAATCATTATTGGATGCTCGGAGGAGCCTTGCATACAGCAAGGATGGTCTGTCGACCGTCATTGCTGTCCTTGCCACACACTCCAAGCCGGCTCCTCTACCTCGCAGAGGCAGTCGCGCTCAAGCAGACTGCCGTGAGCACATGTGTGTCCAGTGTGTAGGCACCACGGTCCGTGGCCCACGGAATGATGGGCATGAGGTAATTGGGGTTAGCGAAGTCATTGACAAATGCTTGTAAATTATAGTATGAATGCAGGCAGTCTGTTGAAGACAATTGCCGTGTCAGTGCCTCACACACACAGTAAGATCCGACTGTGCCCATCTCTTGTTGCGTTGGGCGCCAGGCGTCCGTGTTGACTGGTGCCAGTGCTGCCAGCAGCAGTAGTGGTGAGCCATGGGGTTGGCGGCAGCGGTTTCTGTGATTTTAAGTTCGAAGTGAGTAAGGGCAACGACGCAAACTTTGGACCTGAATTGACGTGGTTTGGTGATGGCATTTTTGCCAGTTTTGATAGCCGTATGCCCTCGGATACCACCGCTGTACGTACTGCTAGCAGTTGACAGGGGGGTGGGTAACCTTGCTGGTTAGTTACACGACAATGGGGCGACTTGGCCACGTGTCGATAATAGCGGTCCCCGTGGTGCGGATTTGTCTCGAAAGTGCCCGGTGAGTACGATGGCAGCTGTTTTGGAGGTGTAAGTTCACGGCACACGGCTAGTAAGCCGGGATATGAAGGGGAGCCTAAAAAATCTGTGACGCTGTCGCTGTCGCTGTCGCTGTCGCTGCCGCTGCCACACCGGTACAGTAACAGTACTGCATTGTGCTGCCGTATGTGGGCGTTGCCTTTATTAGCGCCCACGGGCCTTGCTGTTCGGCAAGGGGATCCCGCGGCAAGGAAAGACCTCTGTTTAGGACCACCCACGGCGAGCGAGGTAGGCAACCCAACCTCTCCTTTCAGTACACTTTCTCATGCTGTCCCGTACGATCATATACAATATCTGTTGTGGCAGCCTGTTGCTTATTGCGGAGCCTCTGCTTCCCGCTACCCTTCCTCTTCGGTCCATCACCACCACCTGGAATCGTATCTTTCTTAATTCCTCCTCGTCCTGTTCCCTTTGTTCTACCTCCGTTTAAAATGTCTCGCCTCCGACGTCCCCCACCTCCTCCCTCCGTATCTACATGTCCTCCCATGGATCTCCCGCCGGCTACCCCCCCCTTCGATTGGCAGCAAATATGGTCCTTCTTCCTCAATACCCCCCGCGTCCGCGCCTGGCTCTTCGAGCGCACCGCTCCTCTGAAGGCTCATGTCGTTCAGGCCCTCCTCTCCTCCCCCATCCTCGTGGGCTATGTCTTCTCCGACTTACATATCCCGTCGCGTAGCTACTCCTTCCCTGACATTGGCGACTTGCACACTGTCTTCTGCCGTGATGGCGACGCGCTTCTTGGCTTCAGTTTCGGCTTTCAAGGAAGAAACCCCGTCATGCCCTTGCTGTTTCAAGTCATCCGCGACCCTATGCTGGGCAATCCAAATGTTATTGTTCGCAAGACGGCAAAGCAGCGAGCCCCGCGTCCGTACCAGGACTACTACCTTTGCATCGAATTCAACTGGCTCGAATCTGGCGCTCTTGGCGTCGTCACAAGCATCACATCATCTGATTCAAACGAAAACACCCCCTCTGGACGATGCTCCTTCGTTCTACAAAGCGAGCACCGTGTCTTCAATCGCCGCAGTGCCGCCAAACTTTCCGCCATGGCCGACCAGCTTTCCCCTTACATCAGTCACGCTTCCTTACCGCATCTCTCCCCATTCCATACCTTGCCGCCAGACTTTGCCGATCCACCAGATGATTACCACATGCTCATAGTCAAGGAGTATGACGACTCCGACTATCATGCTTTGGACCCGCTCTCCTTGAATCCAGCCAGCAAGAACCAGGTTTTTGAGGTCGAAAGCGACTTTGCCGTTCCCTCCACCGCCGCCAACTCCACTACTACCACGACCACGACCGCGACCAATATATCCCATACCGAATCCACGCATAATTCAAATCCCACTGAGCTGCAAGGTCACACCCCTTTCCTGGGTGGTGCTCTTCTCCATTGTCACAAGGGCGACGGCTCCTCAGTTGCAGAAGCGGAGACTGTAAAACTGTGGCGGCACTACCAAGGCGCGGTCGACAAATGTCGACGCACAGGCAACCTTATGACCATGCTCGGCACCAAGGTGGGCGGCCGGTTCGCAAAGGAAGTTCCAGTATATGGCCGTGACGCTCGATACAGGTTTCTTTCGACTTCCGGCGTTAACGTTCACGGCCGTATTCAGCAGTTGTTCTCACAACTCGACATTCAATTTGGCTCACCACACCCAGGACCCAACTCTAAGTTGTATACTCGACAACTGGAATGTTCAGATAGTCTCAGCGAAGCATTGGTAGAGGATCATAAAGTTGATCTTGCGGGTGGTGACCGGTCGCTGGCGACCGCAGGAGGGATGTCCTCTGGTTTCAGTCCAAATATGGTAGAAGATTTTGAGGTCGTTGACGCTGTAGGGGGGACCCGCTATGAGCGTGGTGCGAATGAAAGGCGGTGGGGGCCATCATCTTCGAGCGATCAAGCTGTGGGAGTCCAAAACGACAGGGAACCCTTGCACAACGGAGATGAGAGAATACGAAAGCGACGAAGAACCACAGATGTGAATGGTGTTACCCGACTTTCAGCTAGCCGGCACTCCGCAGTGCCACTACCAACGGGGTTCGTGCAAATGCCATTTCAGCCAGCTCAACAAGATGCAGACTCTCCGCGGAAGATGTATATCAAACAAGAGCAAGTCGCTACCATACTTCCTAGTTTAAGGAATTCATGCGATCTCACAAACATCTTGTCAAACGACACATTATCGATATCCGTCAACCCGGCAGGCATAGAAAACCGGGGATGGTCTGCTGCTGCTGTGGCCACTAGTGCAACGCTGTCACATGGATCACATGGCGGAAGTAAGGAAGAGCCAACATTTACTTCCCAGGCTGAGCAAAACCAATGCACTCAGGGCGTGGAAACGAAAGCTGTTGAAACGGCAAAAAGGGACACTGGAACGAAAGCGGTGTGGACGTGTCACAGATGCGGCCAAAAAATCCGAGGGAAGAAGGGCAACCTAAACAGGCACATTGCGAATAAGCATGACAACATTCGGGCGTATGAGTGCACGAGACCGAACTGCGATCGAAAATTCCAAACGAGATTGAATCTTGTTCGACATGACACGGCGGTGCACCTGGGAAGGCCATACACTTGCCCGAAGTGTCCTCGGGCTTTTAAGAATGAGGTTGACCTGGCTGCACATGTGAGGGCTGCACATAAGAACTCTCAGCTCAGTTTGGCGTGTAAGGTTTGTGGGAGCTGCTTTGGGAGAAGAAGCACGTTGAATCGTCACATGGCCAAAGTTCACAAGGTTGAGGGCAAAGTTGAGAACACAGGAGTCTCGCTAGTCATGTAGAAGCAACAATTTTATGCTCATTATTTATCGGGGTATGTTGCCATAGAGGCAAAAGCTGCTAAACAGGGTTCCTGAATCTCAGCCCCTAGCAGGAGACATTGCTATCATTGAGGCTTTGGAGGTTGACAAAGCATGCTTGAGAGCAATGACAATGCATAGCTTGCGGGCGATATGTACTACTCTTTTTGGAATGCCTTCTAAGCGAAGTAAATACTGTACATATCAAGGCAGAACAGTTGTTCTTCATCGGAAAAACTTAACACAAGGATAGCAACGTTTGAGGGGGTGTCGATGTCTAATACACAGGTTCGAAATGGCACAGAGCAACCGTGTTTCACTGATGTCCCTTATACTCTGTCGCGTTACAATTCTCATGCCTCAATTCCATTAAGACTCACGAATGCTTTGCTTCGGATTATGCTTTACGCTGTTGACAAAGGTCATGTTGGGCATACCCGAATAACTTACTCCTGGATGATAAAGTGTCCCCGTTTCACGCTGATGTCAGCGTGCACGCTCAGCGGCACCAAAGATTGCGAAAGCCTGTCAACAGGCTTTCGCAATCTTCGGTGCCTGTTTCAAACAATATCACTGTACTGTACACGTGTAAGTTCTGGCCAGTACTGTAGACATCTTTCAGGGCCAGTTACATGCCCGTGTGGATCCTGTACAGTACTCTCGGTTGGACTGCCTCGCGGCTCTTCTGAACAACTGCAGGCAACAGCGGTGTAACACAAGAACGCGTCCTTTGACGTTCCTGCCGGAAGCGGACTACGCTCTGAACCTTGTCAGCAAGTAGACCGACGGCATTTTAGTTACAAATTCTCTTCAGCAAGAACACTCACCAAAAATGTCGACGACGTCCAGCGCGCAAGAGGGCAGCGGCTACGCTTCCCCCGACGCAGGCTCCGAGACCGCAGAAGAGGGCGATGATGAGACCCCTCACGTGAACGGAGATGACGGTCCCGGAACTGACGACAACAACCCCGACCGCAAGCGGCGAAAACTATCTGCATCTGAGCACACACGCGAGCTAGGCAAGGAAGATCGGATGGAGCGCTACGCGAAAGCCCGCATCCGGGATGCAAACAAGAACAGAACCTTTGAGGAAGTATCGTCGAAACCGCACAAGAGAGGCGGCAGAGGCAGCTCGAGATCCAGAGCTTCTGTACAAGTCTCGCGCTCACGGTCCAAGTCCCCGGCTACAAGTCAACTGCAGCCTTCGCGTGTGGGGAAGAGGTTGCGAAGACGGCCGCAGAGGTGGGAAGGGGCGAACGAGAGAAGGGAACAGAGGACTGCAAGATCGACAGCTGCGGCGTCTTCGCGGTCGCGTGATATGGACCTCGCGTCAAGGGAATCGGATGGTGAGCAAACAGCGTCGGATTCGTCGATGCATTTTGAGCCTGAGCCTCCAAGTATTGACGATCCGATTGCCGAAATGGCGAGGGCATTGGCAAGATGTAGTGCCGAACATGGTCCGCGTGCGGTTGTGGATTCGTTTCACACCTGGCAATTGCAAGCTGTTTCGAAACAGGCTGCGCAGCAGAAGGCTTTGCACGTTTTCTTGAAAAGAAAGCAGAGGAAACGAGCGGCGAGAACACCTGAGCTTGCACGCCTGGAAAGCGAGGCGTTGCGCAACGCCCGTACGGCGACAGTGAGGGCGAAGGCAGAGAAAGCGGAGCGCGAAGACGAGGAGGAGGATGATGACGACGTCAAGAAGCCTGAAAATGCATCTGAGAGTGAAGCAGAAGAAGATCGCTGCTATGTGCCCTCGAAAATACGACTCCCTCTTGAGGCATACCTTCCAAGGCGAGTGAGGGCAGATAAGATCCCGATCACTCCTGAGAAAGTTTTCGAGCTATTGCCGCGTCCTGGTCGATTGCCAGAGGGAACTAAAGAGGAAAGAGATGAAAATGGATGGGTCCACGTTGAGACCGTGAAAACACCGTCGCTACTGAACAAACAAAAAGCCCCAACGTCAAAACAAAAGCCCACTCGTGCCACATAACATGTAAAGCTGGACCTGAATGAGATTATGGCTATGTCTTGTTGCTTCTATTGCTCTGTTGATCGTGTGGTTTCACCAGCCTGTCTACAATGACTGCAGATGTTAAAAGCAGCTAGCAGTTTTGAGGCTAGCCTATCGTTTTCTCTGTCGCTAGCGAACGAGAGCCACATTTGTAGTTCGGAAAATGAACTTCTAGCTGTCTGTAACAAACAATCGTCCAAGTGTGCCACCTTGAGCAAAGAACCGTGCAGTGTATGGGCTTCAAACTGTTTGCAGTTGTACTACGATCCATCTAGCTTTTATGACGACCCAGGACCAATAGGCTCTATGTCGTGTGCTGCCCCCGGGGCCCCTAATCGAAGAACGATATCGTGGTACTGGAATAAGGACGGTCGGTGACCTACAGAAATGTAACCAATTCCGCTTTCGCGCAGGTGCGAATACAACCTTTCCTCTGAAGCCACGTCCAGCGCGCTTGAGCATTCGTCTAAGATGGCAAGCTGTGGTCTTCCGATAGTAAGACGAGCAAAAGCAAGTCGCTGCTGTTCACCTAACGACAGAACTGTAGACCAGTCTCTGAACTCATCGAATCCTCCCATTCTACCCGGAAGCTTTTCTAGATTGACCAGCTCCAGCGCCGCGATAAGCTCTTCTTCAGTGGCGCTCGACTCATGCAAGGGAGTAGGGTAAACGAGCTGTTCACGCAAAGATCCGAGGGTGCAGTACGGTCGCTGTGGGAGGAAAAACATGGACGAGAGTGGAGGTCTCATGACAGAACCCCGACCGCGATTCCAAAGCCCGGCAAGGGCGCGCAGTGCACTGCTCTTCCCAGTGCCAGATGGGCCCACAATCAATAGCCTCTGTCCAGGCTCCAGCGTGAAGGAAAGATCTTCAAACAAAACTCGATGGTGTTTGTCTGGTGTCATCAATGTCAAATTCTTCACAACTACTTTCGACTCACCATTTGGCGTGATTTTTGTAGAGATATGGACGTCTCCGGCTCCACCTTCGGCAAGCAACAAATCATGGGCGAATTCGTCATCCGCTGACGTGGCTTTCTCCCGCAGTTTCCTGTACCTTGCAATGCCATCAGCTCTACCGTACATCTTCGCAAACCCAGCATCGTGCACGTCAACACCGGGACTGTCGTCCATGCCGCCAGAGCCATCGTCAGAATCATCTAAACCGGGCACTCCCCCTTTGTCAAAACTGTCGGGGTCCTTGGCGTTCTTGGAGCGGCGATCTTCACCCTCGGCAAATCGTGCATAGATAAACTCTTCGAGTTCGCCAAGGCGATCGATGCCTGCCGAAAACTGACTTAACCTGTCAAACTCATTGACGATCAAAGAAAGGTCTTCCAGTACATGATGGAAAGCTTGTTGTGATTGCGATACAACACCAAGTTCGATCGCACCGGTGAAATAGAGGGGGGCAATGATGCTGAGCGGAAGAATCTGGATGAGGTAAGCATAACTCGTGGTGAAGAAGGCGAGATTTCTTGTCCAAACGATGAGGTCAAGTTGGTTGAGGACGGCAGAATCGAAGCGGCGCTCCGTCTCGACCTTTTCCCTACCCTCGCCACTATAAAACGCGATGCTCTCCGCATTCTCGCGAATTCGGATGAGCGAGTAGCGAAAGTCGGCCTCCTTCCTGAGCTGGAGGAAGTTAAGATTTATCATGCGGCGGCCGATTAGGGTAGCCACAACTGTTCCGAAGGTGGAGTAGAACCCAAGGACAATAAAAAGCTTGGGATAAATGCGGAACAGGATGATGGAAAAGTTGACCAAGTCTATGCACGACATGAGGACAGACATGAAGAACATGAGCGAGGTGCTCGTAAAGGCCTTGACATCCTCTGCAATCCTCTGATCCGGGTTATCTACGGTGCCCCTCTGATCAATCTCATAGTACGTCCTCTTCGCAAAATAGTCGCCCAAGATCTTCTCCGTGTGCCACTTGCGCCACGTGAGGGCCAGTCGATCCTTCGCATATCCATACCACACCAAGATTGGCAGCGCGCACAGCAGCACGACAGAGAACATGGTAATCTGTCGCCAGAACATGGCGACGTCCTTCTTCTGCAGGGCGGTCCAGAAGTCGCGCGAGATGTACGAGAAGATGACAGACAGGCCGCTGCGCACGAGGCCCAGAAAGACGACCCAGGCGATGCTCGCGCGCGCGCCGGGGGCGTAGCGCCAGTACGGCCTCGCGATGGACCAGAAGAGGGCCCATAGACGGCGCGGGTCCTGGCGCTGCTTGGCCAGCGCTTGCTCGCGCAGGTCGGTCTCGAGGTCGGGGGAGGGCGCGGCGGGGTGCATGGCGGGGAGGCACCCGGGGGATGTCACAGGCGGACGCGGGGCATGCAGATGGGGGCGGCGCAGACACGCCGGCGGGACGCAGGGCGGGGGGGAGCAACGACGTGGACGCCGCGGAGATGAAGGAGGGCGGGAAGCTGGAAGCTGGAAGGTGCGAGGTTACGGGGAGTTGGGCTGGAGTTGAAGGGAAAATAGGGTTGACAGTGGGAGCTCCTGCAGAAGGAATACCGGTACGGTGCAACGAATCTAAATGTACTGGTGCTCGGATGCAGCCTGGATGCAAGTAAGGTATCAAATGTTTTGCATTTGGCAGGATGCGTCAAGATGGGGGAATGCCATAGCATCGGCCAATGGGAATACTGCAAGTTCACGAGACCGAATTGCAAACGAGTCGCGCAGGGCGCAAATTAGGGGTTACAGCTGTCCGAACCTTGCCCACAGGTTGTGACAAGTCGCATGCAGGTCGTGTACCTGCATGCGACTGGTCACAACCTTTTACTGCCACTGACCTTTCCGTCTCCCTCTCACAACCTCACATGTGTTGACATCACATGCGTTGAAGCATGTCTGCATCCACTGTGCCCTGTACTGTATTCGTTAGTATATACCCTGTGTGATAAAGTGTCTTCATGCCTCCCCACTCATCAGGATGCAGGTGTCTACACTTCGAAGGGTAAAGAAGGCAAAATGCCCGGCAGTTGCAAAAACCACACACACATGTACCTTTGTCTACCGGCTGAGGAGACATACGTGTAGATAATTGCAGTGTCCTTCCAGCAGTGTCCTTCCAGCAGTGTCCGTCCAGCAGTGTTCTTCAAGCAAAAGGGCGGGGGCATGTTGGGGCCTTACGGATTTAACTCAAATCAGGGATGTGAGAGTTGCGCTCTGTGTGAAGGCTCTCCACTGCGGATCCAACAAATGCCCCAGGTGGGGGTTACTACTGTTCGAGAATGGAACTTTGATATCTTATGAGGATACCAGGCACCTCGGAGGTACAAGACAGGTGTCCAAGAGGGACACTCAGATGTAATGCTACCGCTACTGTAGTTATCAATAAAAGAGCTCACGAGACTCTCTTACCCAGGAGGGGGGAGAGAGGGGCAGAGGATTACTTGCATGGTAGCATCGCAAGAGTACCAAATAGAACTGACGAACTCGCAAAAAAAAATACGTTCATCATGTCTGGTGAGCGAGACCCTGTGAAAAAGTTGCTCAAGCTCACGGGATCTTCAGACTTCATCCATTGGCGACGTCGTACTTATGCCTTTATCCGCAGGAACGACATCGAACTGTTAGGGTTTACTGCAGAACCCAATGAAACTTCCGCGGCCGTCCGCAAGAAATGGCTCGAGAAAATGATCAAGGCAAAGACAGCTATCATCCTCAGTCTGGGGACAGGCCCGCTAGCCCAAGTCAGCCATTTGGTCGACAACGATGAAAATACGGCTAAAGAACTTTGGGATGCTCTGTCGAGTCTTTACACGACCTCCAACACCTAAGTCGTTATCAATCTTCAAAGTGAGCTGGACCAACTCCGCTTCAGAGAAAATGAGAATTGGGAGAAGCACGTTGAAAAGTTCAATGAAATACTTGGAAAGCTGGCTTCCTACGACGCACCTGTTACAGCTCAAGAAAAAGCATCCAAGTTGATCAAGACTCTACCTGAATCTTTTGCTCCTTTGGCAATGTTTTCAGAGGCGAGTGAAATTTCATACGATAAGCAAATCGTTGTTGTTGCAGGTGAGCTTTCTCGTCGCACCAATATCAAAGCATCATCATCGCGCGCAACTGCTACACCAAGAGCCGATCTTGCTCACATGGACTACAAGGGACATATTGGGAAGAAGGAAGCAAAGAACAACAAGTGTTTCGTATGTGGTCGCACTGGCCATTATGCGAAAGAGTGTTGGTTTCGTAAGGACAATGATAACGGTTTTCGCGGCCGAAGTACCTATAATAGCGTTGGACGTGGTCGTTTTAACCCTCGAAGAAGTTTTCGTGGGGGACGTGGACGAGGCTTTGGACGAGGCTTTGGGCGTGGCCATCACTCTCCCCAATACCATTTGCAAGGGAACTGGGGTACTGAAAACCAACAATTCCCGAACACCAATACCCTATATGATTCCTCGCAAGGCCGGTTTGAGCCAAATGCCAACGTTGCTCAGAACACCCGCATTCATGACCCGCACCCAAGCAACCGACAAGAAGGCCAGCCACCGTTTGGATTCATGGCTCAACTTAAGTTCAAGAGCTCCATCCCTCAAATTGGAAATTTAAAGAGCCCACATGCCATCATTGACAGTGGCGGGACACACAACTTTTTCCACAGCAAGAACTCTTTCACGAGTTACAAAAGCATGGATACCACTGACGTCTCCGCTGCTGCAGGAACGTCCATAATAGTTGGCCAGGGTATGGTGAAGCTACCGCTTCGCGGAGGAACACTTGTGCCGGCTTATCACACCCCTGAGTTTACAACGAACATTCTCTCTGTCGGCCTACTCACCGAGAACTACAACTTCATATTCACCAGCAGCACCCGTGCGCAAAACGGTATAAGCACATGCTTCATCTTGGACAAGAAAAGCGAGAAGACCATATCTGAAACCGAAATCGAAGATGGCCTGTATATGATGAAGCTACCAACATTCTCGGCCTCATCGGCAATCAGGTCTCTCCCCCGCCTACACTATGCCGAGTATGAATCCCTTTGCGACAACTGCTATTCCGTCGGACCTTACTCTGCTGCAAAAACCGAAAATGAGATGGCAATGTATTGGCATTATCGAACAGGGCATCCCAATCCGAAGCGATACAAAAGATTGGCAGAGATATTTGAAGATGTGCCACCTTTTCCAACAGCATCCTGAACAATCTCTTCTGTGTCGCTTGTGCCACTGGTAAAACAAAGAGAAGTCCCGTAACGCCAAGTCTCTACATTACCAGGCGCCCACTGGAACTCATACATCTGGACATAATCGGACCCATGTCGACAATCTCAACCGGTGGAAGTCGCTACGCACTAGCAATCATGGACGATTATTGCGCAAAGTCAGACATATTCTTTCTGAAAGCAAAGTCTGAGCTGCTCGTCAACCTTCAACGTTACAAAGCACGAGCAGAAAATGTTACAGGTTTCAGACTTCTGAATATCAGGTTGGATCGAGCCGGAGAAAATTCCAGTGATGAACTGCAGCGCTTCTGTTACAGCAACGGTATCCGCCTCGATTATTCTCCCGCTTATGCCCATCAAAGTAATGGAATTGCCGAGCGCTTCATACAAGAGCTTGGTGCTCGATGCCGCGTACTACTGTTTGCAAGCAAGATGGACAAAAATTTGTGGGGAGAGGCGATGCATCACGCAAACTGGTTACGCAATCGACTACCTTCAGAACGCTTAAACGGCGATATCCCCATACACGCATGGGACCCCAATTCACGTGTTAATTTCGCCACCATCCCAGTGTTTGGAGAACCCGGCTTCGCTTTCGTGTATCGCTCAGATACTGCGGCAGATAAATAGTTTACCCCCAGAAGTGTACACGGATATTTTGCCGGACTTCAGAGCGAGACAAGTGTGTTCCCCATATATGTTCCTTCTACAAAACAAATCATCTTCACGCGGAAGCAGGACTTCCGCCCCTGCAAAGAGGAAAAACTACCCGGAGTCACAGCACTCCTCGACGGAATTTCTAGACAAGCTGAACTAGAATCTCGCAGCAACGTCGACAGTCAGGCCGAGGAAATCCTCAGCAAAGCCTTTTCTGTATTTTGCTATTCACTTTCGCAGTCTTATGCCTTACAGAGGAGAGGCAAGAAATGCGACGCTGGAACACCTCGCTCCTTCGAGGAAGCTGTTCAACAGGAGCCATGGCGTGACGCCATCGATCGCGAATATCGCGCCCTAGTTCGCCGTAACACGTGGACTTATGTCACACAGAACCAAAGCATGCAGCCCTTACCGTTCACATGGGGTTTCCGTCTTAAACCGCTGGACAACAATGGGTCTAATTACCTTCACAAAGCACGATGTTGTGTGTGCGGCGACCTACAATCGCCACGTTTCGACTACGACCCAGAGGCGACGTACGCCCCAGTCGCTTCACATGACGCTATACGTCTCCTGTTCGCCGTATCTTCAGCTGAGAACCTCCATGTCGAAGGAGGGGATGTTAGCAACGCCTATTTATATGGCGATGTCGACACGGAGGTACTCATGCATCAACCTACCGATTCAAGCTGTGTGAAAGAAAAGCCTGGTTCGGTTTGTCTACTAAAGAAGGCAATGTATGGCCTTAAACAAGCCGGAAATTTATGGGGCTCGCTGCTTTCGAGTACACTCACGAACTGGGGATTCACCCAGTCCGTCATTGATCACCGAGTTTTCTTTAAACGTGAAGGGACTCAATTCATCATCCTCGTGGTAGTAGTGGATGACATGAAGTTTATTTCCAATTCTACAATCCTCCTTCAGCGCCTGAAGACAAAACTAGCGGCTGCCTTTGACGTCAAGCTCTTTGGGTTCGGCGGAGGTGGGAATCACTCCCATGGGGAGTTCGCAAGCTGGTATCCGCCTAGCACAGCAGAGGTATACAGTAGACTTGCTCACGAAGTACGGTCTGTTGAGGTCGAACGCCACTTTCACACCCCTACCTACAGACGCTGATCTCAGTGCTGCGAGAGATGGAGATGCGTTGCTGAGCAAGGAAGATCATGGAAGTTATCGCTGCATTGTGGGTGAGTTGCTCTACCTTGCAACTTGCACAAGACCCGACCTTTCCTTCCCCGTCGCTGCCCTTGCTCGACAAGTACACAAACCAGCTGTCCGCCATGCACAATTGCTGAAGAGAATGCTGAGGTACATCTCCGGCACAAGAACACTGGGCATCTTCTATCCTAGGGATGTAGCAACACCCACCGTTCAAGCATTTGTGGACGCAGACTGGGCTGGATGTGCTGGAACAAGGCTGTCGACAACAGGATTCGTACTGCTATTTGGCAACTCGCCCATATTATGGAAAAGCATACGGCAGACCATGATAGCCCTCTCTTCAGCGGAAGCAGAATACGTCGCATTATCTCACTGCGCTAAGGAAATAATATGGATGAGACGATTAATGTGTGAAGTGAAGTATTCGCAAAGCTTCGATGAATCAATGCAAATCAACGCAGTCCTCGTAAGCGTTGACAACTCTGCCGCAATAGCTTTGGCCAGGCTTGATCAAGTCTCTGCGCGAAATAAGCACATCGAGATAAAGATTCACCACGTGCGGCAACTTCTCAAGCTTGGTATCGTGCATATTGTTCACGTTCGATCAGAAGGACAGCACGCAGACATTTTAACAAAGCCTGTTGACAAGAGAACCCTTTACCGGCACCTAAAAGCTCTACAAATTGTGACTCTGAACTAAAACAAGATTGATGCACTTCCGAAAGAAGTCAAAGACTGAGAATCTGCGGCGCTGGTTCTAGAAGGAATAATGAACAAAGATTCAGACGCATAGGACTCATGTGGAGCAGCGTCGTTCGTGGACAAAAGTTTGTGTGCACTAACAGAAATGAAAACATAACGAAGAGCAGCAAAAGGAACCGAAAGACCTCTTATGCCGCGCGCCTAAAGAAGACGCGCGTTAGATGGGTCACCAGGGCGGGGAATTAACACTAACTGCGACAACCCTCTTCCTTAGTAACACACAAGGTGCTTTCAGGCCCTCAATTCGAGTTGGTCCTAGCGGCTTACACCTCTCATCCCGGTCAGCTCCGGTTCCAATGGGAACGAGGATTTGGAACGTATTTATACCAGACATTTTCGAGCGCCACGTGTATGGAATTCTAATCTTGGATGCAGACTTTCGCTTAACAGGTGGTACGCAGATGATGGAACGTTAATAGGACCTATAACGGAAGTCAGAAAAGCTTTGAACATCCTTACACAAGCAGGTTCTCATATTGGGGTTTCCATTAATGTCGCAAAATGCCGAGCTTTTTGGCCCAGTACCTCGCCTGAAAATATCTTGCCGCTCACAGAGTCCTTTCCCATGCATGTGTCATGGGAAGGCGGAATTGCATTGCTGGGCGCCCCTTTAGGAACTGACGCGTTCATGAAGGCCTTCCTGGATACCAAAATTAAGACAGTTTCCGCATCCTTATCCCTCCTTGATGACATACCGGATGCTCGAATTCGGTTTCACCTTCATCGTGTGACTGGTTCAGTGTGCCGTGTAGAACATGCCTTTAGACTCACCCCGCCTCGTGTCTCCCTCGCTCCGGCTATCCAATTCGATGACATGCAGCGTGCTGCGTATTCCTGCTTTAATGATGTAGCTATTTCTCCGTCTATTTCTACACAAATCGGCCTCCCTTTCCGTCTCGGTGGTCACGGATTCACGCCTTTATCACCGTTCGTACATGCCTCGCATGCCGCTAGTCTTATTGAATCCGCCCCTATGCGTGTTTCGGGTCCGTTTAATCCGACAGTTTCGTTCTATCGACGTATAGCTCGCAAGCATTTGGTCCATGTCTCGGGCTCTCTCCACCCAGAGGTCCGCACGCGCGGAATTCTTACAATCGCTTCCTCTCTCGGGCCGTTTGAACCGGACGCCTTGCTGGAAAGACCTGAACGCATACATACTACTCTATTTCAGGCTATCCACGGTGCTTCCTACCGTCGCAACTGGGAAACTACCTCCTGGACCCTACACCCGCGACCATCTGATCACACTGCCGCTTCTCTCGCCGTCACGCTCGTTACAACTCTCTCCGTGCTCCCGGCGCAGCTTCCTTCCTCTGCGCCCACCCTGCGCTAACCTCTCGTGTGTCGAGCTCCATTTGGTTTTGCATGCTCCGTCGGCATTTGGATACTCCTGTGTTCGATGATTCTATTCGGCCCATTCTCTGTACCCACTGCCACCGCCCAATGGATGCCCGTGGGGACCATGCTACTGTATGCCGTCATGGGTTTGGGATAATTCATCGCCACAACATCGTCCGTAACGTCCTTGCCGGCCATGCTTTTCGCGCTGCCGGTCTACAGTGCGAATTAGAAGTCCCCTTTCTGCTGCCTGACACTGCGCGACGCCCCGCTGACCTCCTCGTCCAACCCCCCGCTCCTCCCTCTGGTGCACCTCTCGATCACCCTACCGCATATAATGTCACATTTCGCTCTCCCTACCGCTCTGGTACTCTCTCTGCCGCTGCTCGCAACCTTGCCGGTGCAGCTGAGGCCGGAGATACTGAAAAGCTCCGGTCTCACGCTCGCGCTGTGCGCGATGCCTACCATCTACAATCAGATGCCCCGCTTCCTCCGCTTGATTGGGATTTCGTACCCCTCGCGTTCGACACGCTGGGCGCGACTAGCGCGCGCACTACTGGAGTGCTAGAGACCCACGCTCACCTCATCGCGCGCCGCAC